GGCAAGTATCCTTGTAAACACAGTCGGTTGTTTTAAGTGAACGTAAACAGTAAAGAAAATATCAGATGTACATCAGTATAACGGATCCGTGCATTTCTTATATAAATGTTAATCAAAAAGAGCAAAAGAAAAATAATTTGCTGCTTTAATAGCTTTAATGGATATTTGCATTATGTTGATGATAATAAAGTAATTCGGTGTCAATACAGTAATGTGTGGTGTGGGGGGGGCGCGAATGAAATTAGACAAACTGGGGGGGGGCGCATGTCCTAAAAGGTTGAAAACCCCTGGTCTAGGAGACAAGGTCCTCACTGGGGATCTGTCTTTGTGGCTCGTAACACATACAGCTGTTCCCTCACTACAGTGCAACAGTGAAAAGGAACCCCTTTCAAACAGTGTCACGTTCTGAACGTTGTTTAAGCGACATACGGTATGTAAATATTTTCATATCATATTTTCATATCATAACAAAAATAAACACCGGTATTCGGTATGAACCGGTATACCGCCCAGCACTAATACCTATTCATTCACTGCTACGAATTGATGGCAGTCAGATAAGTACGATTTGAACCGTGACCTAATTAATGCAGCCTAAAAATCCTTTAACTGATTTGAATATCAGAAATGTGTGTCTGCCTCTCGAACAGTGTTAGGTAGGTTATTCCAGAGCTCGTTCAAATACTGAGGTGCTGAACCATTCAGGGCTTTATAAGTAATAAGCAAGATTTTAAAATCTATACAATCATTCACTGCTACGAATTGATGGCGGTCATATAAGTACGATTTGAACCATGCTAATGCACTTCCATTAATGCCAACTAAGTTTTCTAGTCTATGCAAAAGAATGTTGTGGTCAATCGTGTCAAACGCAGCGCTAAGATCCAATAGCACTAATAGAGAGATACAACCACAATCAGATGATAAGAGCAGGTCATTTGTAACTCTAATGAGAGCAGTCTCGGCACTATGATACAGTCTAAATCCTGACTGGAAATCCTCACAGATACCATTTTTCTCTAAGAAGGACTATAATTGTGAGGATACTACCTTTTCTAGTATCTTGGACAGAAAAGGGAGATTCGAGATCGGTTTGTAATTAACTAGTTCTTTGGGGTCAAGTTGTGGTTTTTTGATGAGAGGCTTTCACAGTGAGCAAAGAAAAGAAAAGAAGCTACTTCTTTGTATCTTTGTTCTCATTTTTAATAAAGATCAAATAAAAATAGCTATATTGTGATTAATAATATAGTATTTATTATTAAGAAAAGAATTGGAGGAAACTATGCAACATTGCTTGCTTTTGCTTTGGAATCTACAGAAAACCTTAACTCTTTAACATTTTTCTCAAAATCAACTCTGCTGACTCTATCGCCATCAAACGCCTGTAGCTCAGTCTTTTTTTAAATTTTTTTATATAAGTTATATATCATTTTGAAGGTGTTTTAATGAGAAAATAAAAATAACTCATTTTTGAAACGGGTCACAGATAACCCTTTCATTAGTGATGCACATATTTAGTTGGTTGATGAAAAACAGATGGTCGGGGAGAATCACAGTTACAGTGAATGCACTCGTCTGGTCCTCAGATGAAGGTTTTGAAGAGGCAGCAGCGCATGATCAAGAACCGGGAATCGGCCTGCCAGAGCCGCAAGAAGAAGAAGGAGTACCTGCAGAACCTGGAGGCGCAGCTGCGGGAGGCGCAGCAGGAGAACGAGCGTCTGCGCAAGGAGAACCAAGCACTGCGGCTGCGGCTCGCCGGGAGAGAGGTCAGACGCTGATCCCGCAGAGCAACGCTTCACGTTTGCAGGGCTTTTCATGCTGTGTCTAATTGTGTGGTGTGCCAAACAGGTCGCTGAGTCTGGCAGCAACAAGGGAGCGCTGTGTGTGATGGCTCTGTTCCTCGTCATCACCTTCGGCCCCATCAGGTAAACCAACACGCACTCCAAACTCATTAGCAAAGAACACTCTGCTGAAACTGGAAGCGGATCGTCACATCTTCTTTGTTTTCGGTTCTTGTGCCAATGCAGGTGGAACATCACAATAAACAACTCTGACAGTGTTTACAGACAGCAAACATGCAGTGCAGTGTAGATCCAGTTCATGAACAAATGACTCTTCAGTCTGTTCTTTGTAATGAAAAAACACACAGAATAATCTCTGAGTGAGTTCTGTGGGAGTCTGGCTCTGCCCCTTATTAAACACACCCAACCAGGTAATCAAGACAGGGCTCTAGACTGCAAAATTTTTTGAGAATGCACGAGTTCAAATTTGTCTGCTCTGCATGGTCTGCTCTGCTCCATACAGCGAGCGTTGCAGAGTCGCAGCACACTGTAGCAGAGTCAGATTTCCCTGATCAGGTGAAGAGAGGGGCTTCAGGTGTAGAGCCTGCTTTATACTGCGCGCGGCAAAAATGGCACGAATATTGAGGAAATGATGGCGGACGGAGGATTTGTTTTTAAAGCTAAAGTAAAGTAAAACACCGCTTCTTAAACCGGAGAAGGTGAACATGTTGGTATTCCTGTGGAAACATACATGCAAGTCCTGTCACCGACAGCCAGCTTAGTTTTAGTTTGACTTTTCTTTTTGTTTTCATTTTGAAAGCTTGTTATCTTGCTGTTTACCTTAGGTTACGCTTTGAAGGCTTTCTTTTAATTTTTAATTTTTTTTTTATTCCTCAGTGTTTGCTAAACGTTCTGTAATTTATTAAAGAACTAATTAATTTATTATTTATGCCTTACCTTATTCGTTTTTGTTAATAAACATTATGTAAGCTAGTTTGTCATCGTATCTTACTGTTTTATTGTTGTTGTACTTTTTAATTAATAATAACAATGAATCCATCATTTGCTTTAGTCTTAAAATTAAAAGGTGCATAGATATAAGCAAAACAGACAAATATGTTTTCTTGTAAAACGTGACAACAAGATCGCGAATTCAAAAGTGAAAGCATCCGAAGCCCGGCTTATAACACAGCAAAAGAGGAACAATACTACTGATGAAAAAGAACAGGTTGAATGTTAACCACTTTCGTTACCATATAACCAGGGTTTGAAATTATTAACACCCGCCAACCCGCCAAATGCGGGTAAAAATCAGCTGTGGCGGGTAACGCTGTCAAATCACTAGCCAATTTGGCGGGTTACTTTTCGTAAATTATGTTCACTCATTAATTTCTTGGGGAAGTTCATGCAGGCCAAATCTGCGCAGGTTTAGCGCAAATACTGAACTCGTGAGACATCATGGCATTATCGAGTATATTGCAAAAGCTAAACAAAACACACCTACAGAAGCGTGCATACGCGACGTGATGAAGTCTGGTTACTAGACCAACACAGGATTTAGTGCGCGTGCGCATTTATAGTGCGCTCTTTCACTGCATGATTCAGTCTATTAATATGCATTAACAATTATCACATACTTCAGGATAAGGAGGCAGAAAACGTATATATTTACATCAATT